ACCTGGCAGGCTACTGAATGTAACCTGCCCACATGGCAGAGTCTGGCAAACTCCCCGTAGCGTACCCAATATGCCAAATACCAGTAACAATGATGGGTCTCATTCTCCTAACCCTGAAATAGCCTTGAATATGGCACTTTTTAAAATCTCAGGGCTAGGACAAAGGAGACATTACTGGTGCCTGCTCGAGGCAATCGACAAACAACAGGATGATCGTGATCGTGATCAAAAGTCCCACAACTTTTCCAGCAATGGCAGAAACTAGTTAGAGCTTTCCAGCAGAACTAAACCTCACTCCTCCAAATTACACAGTTTGGCATACACAGTGGGTAAGCATCCTTGGGGGAAATGTAATGACCAGAAAAGAAAGCCATTGTGCGGCCCTCAATGAGCCAGTATTAGTGAATGGGGAAGATGCATTCACTAAAGGGGATGTGCTCTACATAGGGAAAATACACCACTTAAAAAGAGACACTGGAGCCAAAGCGATAGCACAGCAGGTAGGGAGTTTGCCTTGTATGCAGCCAACCAAGGATGCCAATCCCTGACATCCCATACTGTCCCCACAGCATTGCCAGGAGTAATTCCTGAGAGTAGAGCCAGGAATAACTCCTGAGCATTATCAGATGTGTCCCTAAATATCACTATCACAATCACTATCACCTCGTTGTTCTTCAGTTCGCTTGAGCGGGCCCAGTAACGTCTCCATTCGTCCCTGTCAAGTGCAAGTGTAGCCCGATGACATACTGGGGGCTCCTTCAGGGTCAGGGGAATGAGGACCATTCATTGTTACTGTATTTGACATATCGAGTACATCACGGGTACCTTGTCAGGCTCTGCCGTGCAGGCGGGATACTCTCAGTAGCTTGACAGGCTCTCCGAGATGAATGGAGGCTTTTGGGGCAGCCTCTAATCACCTTTACAGGTGTTCCTAGTCAGGCATATAGGCGGGTATGATATTCTCAGTAGCCTGCCGGGTTCTCTGAGAATGAGAACTAGAGAATAAGAGGTTGCTTCCGAGAGCTTGGTTTCATAGTCTCTGGATGGCTGTTGATGGGGTTACACGGCAGTTGGTGGGTGTAACTCTCTAGCTACTGGAAGGTAGGGGAGCTGGGTGGAGAAGGTCCCATCCTGAACCGAGCGTGCTTGGCGATCTCAGCCCCAGGTCCTGCACACCTGGGTTTCTCTGCCAGTTCCTCGTCCAAGCATGTGGAGAGGGTCTCAGCATGGCTTTGTCTGGGTCCTGGAGGTCTTCAGCTGTCAGGGCTCTGCTCAGGGTGGAGAGGGAAACTCAACCTGCCCTCCTCCAAGGGGCCTGCCCTTAGAGTCCTCTAAGAGTCTCCTGTCCCCACGCCTGACTGTCCTCAGTGGCCCTAAAAAAAGACAAAAAAAAAAGCCACATCAAAAGGCAGTGTTTTTAAATATTTGCATTTTCAGAAGCAAAGAACTAATCCACTAGCATGGATTTATTTTGGACATAGTTCATGTCTTGTCTTTTGCTCACTAGAGATAGGTCTGCATGGACCGGTCTCATTGGAAACCCTCCCCTTGCTTATCATTATCGCCATCAATGTCATCATCACTACTGACGTTATTATCCAACTGACCCATGTCATAAAATATGAGTTCTTCACTCTGAGCTTGGTATTTCATTTAATGTTGGCAAATCATCATGTGAAGAAGGTACTATTTGGGCCTGAAGAGATAGTACAGTAGGCAGGGTGCTTGGTAGGTCAACCCAGGTTTGATCCCTAGCACCCAGTATCTTTCCTCAAGCCCTGCCAGAAGTGAGCCCTGAGCACAGAGCCAAGAGTAAGCCCTGAACAATACCAGGTGTCACCCCCAAAACAGAAAAACAAAAGTAAGTTTATTGCATAACACTAGTGGGAAAAGGGCAATACGTCTTTTATTGATGACTGTGGTTCTGTAGTTAACAATATTGTTAATGATTTTTTTTTCCCATCTACAGTGGTAGGGCATTTGCCTTGCACGCAACCAGCCCAGTTGACCCGGGTTAAATTCCTCCGCCCCGCTCAGAGAGCCCGGCAAGCTACCTTGAGTATCTCACCCGCACAGCAAAGCCTGGCAAGCTACCTGTGATATATTCAATATGCCAAACATAGTAACAAGTCTCACGATGGAGACATTACTGGGCCCACTTGAGCAAATCAATGAACAATGGGAGGACCGTGACCGTGACATAATTCTAACACCACAGCCATCACCAATGTTCCCACCTCACTCTCCCAAGAACCCCAGTGTCCTTCCCTTTTCACACTCCCCCCCACCCCTCACACACACACACACATACACACACACACACATGCACTCAAACTCAGTGCTGGCCCCTGCAATTTCCAACAAATGTGGGAAACTCAACTGCATAATTTGTGCTAGTGGGGGGATGCATTCAGACTATCCCCAGATAGCTTGCTCCACATATGGCCTCCTGAGCCCACCGGGAGTGATTCCTGAGCACAGAGCCAAGAGTAAGGCCTGAATACAGCCCAGTATGGCTCAAAGTCTTCTCCTCCCAAAATAATTTTTAAAAATAAACAAGTATTCAATTCATTTATTTTAGTGTATTTCTAAAGTTATACAACCTTAACTTTTTACTGTCTTACAGAAACCCTTACCTCTTAACAGTCATTCACTGTTCCCCCTTGTATTAGATTTTGAGAATCAATAATATATTTTTAAGTCTCTATAGATTCACATATTCTGAACTTTTCATATAAATGGAATTGTACACACTGATACAATTGGAGGGATCCTGGGCCTATAATGTTGGGTGTGGTTTATTTACCTTTTATTCCTGAAGGCTGGAGTAATAGCAGAGCAGGTAGAACACTTACCTTGTGTGAGCTTGACCCGGGTTTGAGCTCCAGAACCCCATATGATCCCTTAAGCATGCCAGGAGTGATCTCTGAGTGCAGATCCAGGAATAAGCCCCGAGTACAGCCTGATGTGTCTCCCCCCCCCAAAAAAAAACCAATAAAGTAACATTGTATTCCTGAAACATTACTATTGATGGTATTGCAAATCACAATGCCTAATACAATTAAAATTTTTTAAAAATCAATGGAACAACATAAAACCTCTTGTATTTTCCCCATATACTTTAAAGCTTATCCATGGTGCCTGTGTATCAGTAACTCTTCTTTATGACTTTATACTATTCCCAAGTGTGGTATTGTGTAATCTCCGGGCAGCTAGGGAGAGCCCCAGGGGCTCTCCCTCTTGCCGTCCATGATTGGTGGACCTGGGTCAGTCCCCCACCCAGGGTGACCTATGCCATGGGCGGACAAAAGAGGAAATGAGGCTGCCAGGCTGGTTGATGATCAGTTGCCATTTATTCCATTCTCCCCACGTGCCTGTTCCAATCTCACTAAGCTCCTCATCCTAGTCTCACACTGCCCCTCACTTCCGTCTCCTCCAGTCTCCCCGACCTCTCTCCAAGCTCCCTCTCACAGCCGTGCCTCTCATCTCTCCATACCACCTGCTCCTGCATTCTTCCTCTACATTCTTCTCCCTCTGTCCCCCTTGCTAGTCTCTCCATGCTCCATCTTGCTGCCTTGCTCGCTCTCTCTCTCTCTGTCTCTCTCTCTCTGTCTCTCTCTCTCTCTCTCTCTCATCTCACTCCAACTTCCCCAGTGGGGGTAGTCACCACACCCCGTAGCACGATCAACATATCAAACGCTTTTCCTGATCCCTGATCAGGCTCAAAGGCAGAAATACCACCTACGGGTGTTCCTCCTCTCCTTAGTCCAATAACTTAATTAACATCTTAAATCACATCTTAATTCTACTTCTTAATATTGGTTATTTTTTTTTAATGGATGCAGTAAGAGATACATTGAGCTTGTAGGGTGGCTCTTCTGGGGACATCTTACCACAGATTCAGACCACAGTGCTCAGGCTGGATTAATCATTCCTAACCCTAGCAGGGTCCTACTCTAGTTATTACTTTTTGGATCATGACAGAATTTGTCCATGACCGTGCTTTTAACTTACAGTTAAGAGCTATGGCACTTTGGACAGGCCCATTTTGATGCCAGGGTAGCTCACTGCTTGCCCTTGCCCTGGATCCATCCAGTCCCTCATTGGGACCCTATTTTTGGGGTGCTAAGAAGTAAGGGAAACTGAGGCTTAAGTTGAGAGAATAGACGCCCAGGAGTGAAAAATCATTCAGAATCCCAGTTAACTCCCAAGTTACAGAAGCATAGCTTTAACTATCTTCCTGTGTCTATACAAAAAGGACATTGCTCTGAATTAACTATGCAAAGAACTTAAGGAGAAGAGAAAAACAGTATTTACAAGTTAACAGAGCACAAAGAAAGAGGTTAAGAATAAACAAAGAAGAATGGGAGCACTGTGATGGGAGTAACCCAATAAACCTAAGCTCCCTGCAGCAAGGCAAAAAGGGCAAACCAATGTTATTCTACGCAATTATCACATTTTCCTTATACACTCACATTTTCCTTATACACTCGCTGATATCACATTGTTATCACATTTTCCTTATATACTCATTGATAAACCATTGATTGAGTTCTACTTTCTGGCTATTATGAATAATGCTGTTACAGAAACTCATTTATAAGATTTTGTATGGAAATATATTTTTAATTCCTAGGAATAAAATCACTTATTTATATAGTAACTACATTTAGCTTTCTGAACTACCACCAAACGTCTCCTTGGTTAACTGTACTTCATTTTCACCAGTAGGGTATGAATTTCTAATTTTCCCACATCCTTCCTAATTCTTACTAATATCTTTTAATATATATTATATTATATAGTCACCCCAGAAGGATGACTATAAATATATATGTATGTATATACATATATATAAATATATATGTATGTATATATTTACAGTCATTCTTCTGGGTAATATAGTATCTCAGTGGTTTTGATTTGCACTTCTCTAATTGCTAATATTAGCCTCTAGTGACGGATACTGAACATTTTAAAATGTGTTTGTTGATCTTTACATGTCTTCCCTGGAAAACTACTTGGGTCCTTTATACATTTTCAAAATAGAGTTTCCCCAGAAAGTAGAAGGCAATGAACCAACTACAGCTTTCAATCTCTTTGTTGGAAATCTGAACTTTAACAAATCTGCCCCTGAGTTAAAGACTGATATCAATGATCTTTTTGCTAAAAATGACCTTGCTGTTGTAGATGTCAGAATTGGTTATCTATGAAGTTTGGTTATGTGGATTTTGAATCTGCTGAAGACTTGGAAAAAGCCTTGGAACTTACTGGTTTAAAAATGTTTGGTAATGAAATTAAACTAGAAAAACCAAAGGGAAAAGACAGTAAGAAAGATCGAGATGCAAGAACACTTCTGGCTAAAAATCTGCCTTACAAAGTTACTCAGGATGAATTAAAGAAATTTTTGAAGATGCTATGGAGATCAGATTAGTCAGCAAAGATGGGAAGAGTAAAGGGATTGCTTACAATGAATTTAAAACAGAAGCTGACGCAGAGAAAACATTAGAAGAAAAACAGGGAACAGAGATAGATGGACGGTCCATTTCCCTCTACTATACTGAAGAAAAGGGTCAAAATCAGGACTACAGAAGTGGAAAGAATAGCACCTGGAGTGGTGAGTCCAAAACCCTGGTTTTAAGCAACCTTTCCTGCAGTGCAACAGAAGAAACTCTTCAAGAAGTATTTGAGAAGGAAACTTTTATCAAAGTGCCCCAAAACCAAAATGGCAAATCTATAGGGTATGCATTTATAGAATTTGCCTCATTTGAAGATGCTAAGGAAGCTTTAAATTCATGTAATAAAAGAGAAATTGAGGGCAGAGCAATCAGGCTGGAGTTGCAAGGACCCAGGGGATCACCCAATGCAAGAAGCCAGCCATCCAAAACATTGTTTGTCAAAGGTTTATCTGAGGAAACCACAGAGGAAACGTTGAAAGAGTCGTTTGATGGCTCCATTAGAGCAAGGATAGTCACTGATCGGGAGACTGGCTCCTGTAAAGGGTTTGGCTTTGTAGATTTCAACAGTGAGGAAGATGCCAAAGCTGCCAAGGAGGCCATGGAAGATGGAGAGATTGATGGAAACAAACTTACTTTGGACTGGGCCAAGCCTAAGGGTGAAGGTGGTTTTGGTGGTCGTGGTGGAGGTCGAGGTGGCTTTGGCAGCCGAGGAGGTCGAGGAGGTTTTGGAGGCCGAGGAGGCTTCCGAGGAGGCAGAGGGGGCGGAGATCACAAGCCACAAGGAAAGAAGACAAAATTTGAATAGATTATTCTATCTCTCATTTTTTCCTTCATTATGAAAGGACTCTGAGGTTTTTACGCTGTTACCTGATCAATGACAGAGCTTTCCAAGGACATTCCAAGACAGTATACAGTCCTGTGGTCTACTTGGAAATCAGCATAGATAACATTTCAAGGGAAAATACTGTTGGTTTTGACTGGATATTCGTATAAACTTTTTAAAGAGATGAGTGATAGAGCTAACCCTTATCTGTAAGTTTTGAATTTATATTGTTTCTTCCCATGTACAAAACCATTTTTTCCTACAAAAAAAAATAGTTTCCCTTTTTCATTATGGAGATTTAAGAGAACGTTATATCTTCTGGATAGTAGACTCTCAAAAGTAATGATTCACAGATATTTTCTCCTGCTCTGTGAACTGCCTTTTCACTTTCTTGATTCCATCTTTTCAAGCTCAACAAGACTCTTAATTTCTTAATTTAAAAAATCAACATTTTTAATTTTGAAGAAAAAAGAACTATGCATTTATTTTTTCCTTTAGTTGTTTGTGCTTTTGGTATTATGTCTAGGAAACTACTGCTAATCTAAAGTCAAAAAGATTTGTATCTGTTTTATTCTCAGGCTTTAATAGTTAGATCTTTAGCCCTTTTGTTATATGTGGTATGGGGTAAGTTACCAACTTCATTTTGGCTTTCTATTGCTAAATTTAAATGTCTTAAGAGAGTAGTCGGGCTCCAGATTCTAGAACTCAGATTCTAACTGTGTAGGATTTAGATCCCTTTTCTTCAGTAACAAGTTGGGCTCATCTTAATTCCCTCATTTCTTCATGCCTCATCTCTCATCTGAAAAGAGGGTTAGAATAGTTAACAACCTCATTCATGTGTATTTAACAGTCAAGTCTTAAGGAAGACTCTTGCCTTCCTTGTGTCTGGTCCAGGTTTGATCCACAGCACCACATATGGTCCCCTTAACACCCCCCAAGGGTGATCCCTGAGCCCAGAGCCAAATAAAGATTCAAGCAACAGCCAAAAGAGGGCCTGTGAGTTGAGCAATCTCATGTTACATGATTCTTGATATGGGGAGTTGAGGAACTGATTTCTCCCGGCAGTTCTCAGGGCTTACTGTTGGCTCTGTGCTCAGGGATGACTTCTGGCCGAGCTTGGAGAACCATATGTGATGTCAGGGATCAAATAAAGATCTGTTGCTTGCAAGACATGTACCTTAACCTAGGAATTCTCTCTTTAGCCCCTGAATAACTCCCGTGTTTATTTTTTTAATTTTAGGATCAACATTTATTTGTTTATTTTTTAAAATTTATTGAATGGGAAAAGTTACAAAGCTTTCAGGTTTAAGTCTCAGTCATGCAATTATCAAACACATTTCCCTTCACCAATACTTATTTTTCACCACCAAGAACCCCGATAAACCCCCCCTCCCAACCCTCCCAATGCCTGTCAGGCAGATGAATTCTAGTTAACACTCTATCTGCTTTGATTAGATTCATTGTTTCGACAAAAGATGCACCATTATTATTTAGAGTTTACACCCACAAATAAGACATGCTGAAAAGGCATTGTGAAATAATTTGTTTTCTATAGCTGGTTATAAGAATCAAACGATGTCAAACTGATTTTGGATTTCTGGTATTTTACTTACTAAGCCCACACAGCAGAGTCTGGCAAACTCCCTGTGGCATACCCAATATGCCAAATGCCAGTAACAATGATGGTTCTCATTCTCCTAACCCTGAAAGAGCCTTTAATATGGCACTTTTTAAAAAATCTCAGGGTTAGGATGAAGGAGAAGTTACTGGGGCCTGCTCAAGGCAATCGACGAACAACAGGATGGTTGTGATCGTGATAGAAGTCTGGAAGTATTTCTGCTGAGAGTCAGATAATTATGAGATTGGTTTCTGTGGCTCTGGAGTCATTGCCATGCCGGAGAGCCACTCATGGGGGGCAACTCCTGACCTCAGTAGGGTGTGAAGGACCAGCCCGGAACGCCCCCCTTCCCATGAGGTTTCAGTCGCCCCGTCACGACTGGCTCATACCTGGCTTTCAATAAAGCTCTGAAGTGGCTGCCATCTTTCTTTCCAGAGGGAAAAGGCCTCTCATGTTTGTTTTTTTTTTAACAGATGACTGGTTAAAGAAACTTTGGTACATCTACACAATGGAGTACTATGTAGCTCTTAGAAAAGATGAAGTCATGAAATTTACATACAAGTGGTACAATATGGAAAGTATCATGCTAAGCGAAATGAGTCAGAAAGAGAGGGATAGACATAGAAAGATTGCATTCATCTGGGGGATATAAAGTAACAAAGTATGAGATTAATACCCAAGAATAGCTGAGATCAGCACCAGGAGGATTACTCCATAACTTAGAGGCCAGCCGGGTATCCTAGAGGAAAGGGCTGTTCAGATAGAGAAGGGAGCACCAAATAAAGGATGTTTGGAGGATCCTCCCAGGAGGGGAGATGCATGTGGAAAGTAGACTATGGACTGAACATGTTGGCCACTCAATGCCTCTTTTGCAGACCACAACACCCAAAAGGAGAGAGAGAACACAGGGGATTGCCCTGCCACAGAGACAGGGGGGATGGGGGGATGGGGGTGGGAGGGATATTATCCATGGTGGTGGAAAATGGGCACTGGTGGAGGGATGGGTATCTGATCATTGTATAATTGAAACCAAAGCACAAAAAATTGTAAACCTACAACTTTAAAAAAAATAAAATAAAATAAAGGGGAGAAAAAAAATAAAGGGAAAAAAAAGAAAAAAATACATTAAAAATTTTATTAAAATAAAATAAAGGGGAAAAAATGGAAAAAAAATTTTATTAATACTCTTGGGGCCGGAGTGATAGTACAGCAGGTAGGACTTTTGTCTTGCACGCAGCGGACCAGGATTCGATTCCCAGTGTCCAATATGGTCCCCTAAGCGCTACCAGGAGTAATTCCTGAGTGCATGAACCAGGACTAACTCCTGTGTATCGCGGGGTATGACCCAAAATGCATATATATATATATATATATATATATATATATATATATATATACACATATATATTAATACTCTTAAGTGCATCTTTTAGGGATTACTCTGCCATATGGAAAAAAAATAGCTGTTTCACAAACTGATGTTTTGAGGTGTGGTCCCCTTCCCTTTCTTCTGTTGACATTGTTGGAATGATGCAGCATGTTGCTTGTGGGGGGTTGTACATTTAGTTATGGTTGATGGGGTGAGGGTTTGCTGCTCAAATTGTGGTGCTCACACACTCGGTCATGCTGCTTGCTGGTGGTCATACCTCTTTCAGTTGCTGGGCTGACTCAGGGGCTCACCTGGAGTCACCATCCATAGTTGTGATGCTCACACATATCTGGCTGTAGTGGTGCCCAAGATCCTTGGCAGTGCTGGAGATCGCAGAGTGGAGCTGCCAGGATCACTTGGCACATGTTTTAGCACCAGGGATCCAACCCATGGCCTCACGCTTAGGAAGCAGGCACTTGAGCCATTGAGTCATTTTCACCTCCCATTCCCCACCCCTGACCCATTTCACAAGCAATTTGTATTATTTTTTAAATTTTTTACTTTTTTATAGAGTTGTTCACAATAATTTATTACATTCAGTATCCCAACACCAATCCTACTACCATTACACTAACTTCCCATCACCATTATTTAAATTTTGCCAGCCACCACCCAAGCCTGCCCCAAAGGCAGGGCCTAAATAATTAATTTTGTAGCGCTTGTTATGCATAATCTGCTAAAAATGATCCCAAAAAGTTACCTTAGAGGAAATTGCATGAAGATTGTTGTATCTCACCCTGGAGACATTAAGCTCTTGTATAAGAGATTACTAACATGTTTACAGGGTGATTCGTGTGTGCTACTTTTTTTTTTATCGAGATAGCTTTCCTTTGACTTTACACCCATCAAATAATTTTTTTAAATAAAAAGAATAACAAACTTCATTTTAACCTTGAAAAGTCTTCCCTCTATACTTGGCATAGGATTTGAGTCTGTGCATTTAAAATGGCGCCATACAATAAGCACTGGTTATTAGTACTTCTCCTGCTTACATCCAGAAACTGGTCTCATGTGGCGGACTAGCTCATCCTCTCAGCTAGGTTTATGTATGTTTTCACTGATGTGCTGGGCTACTTACTCATCCTTATCAAGAACAAGATTTAAAGTTAGATTTTCAACTCTTTTGAATGTTCTACAAGAGTTGGATGTGTGCTGAATTTCCAGTTGAAGCTCCCTGCAAGAGAAGCTAAGTGTTTGGAGAATAGCTCTTCTACTCTTTCCTCAAATCTAACACAAATACAGAGATGAACAAATCAAACATACTCCTAAACAACTGATAATTTTCATTTTTTTTCTTTTCTTTTGTTTGTTTGTTTCGCTTTTTGGGTCACACCTGGCAATGCACAAGGGTTACTCCTGGCTCATGCACTCAGGAATTACTCCTGGCGGTGCTCAGGGCAACCATATGGGATGCTGGGAATTGAACCTGGGTCACCCGCGTGCAAGACAAATGCCCTACCCGCTGTACTATCGCTCCAGTCCCCCTGATATTTGCTTTTATCACGTCGTGGGAGATTTGAAATCCTTAGCTTCAGGTTCTTTTCCCTTCTCCTTCTTTTTGTAGCCCACCCCCTCCAAAATTCCCACTGGCTGGCATCATTTTGCTCACAAAGAAAAGAAATACCTCCAAATACCTCCATCCTTCTGATCTGCACACCACGGACCATGCAACCTAACGGGCCCTTTGCCCTGGAAGTACCCCAGACTTGGGAACTCTGTGTATTTAACTCCCAACAGGGGAAGCTCAGAAGGCTTAACCCCAGTCATTAAAAATAAATAAATAAATAAAAACCTTCGCTCCTGATTTCACCTTCAACACCGAGAGTATTCCTCTCCTGCCTCTGATCCCCAGGCTCCCCAGACACTTGAACCCTGGTTCCTGGCCTGATGTGTCCCTGTGACCTGTCTGTTGGGCCATTCTCCGTGTGGGTGGTGAGTTCCCGTGGGAACCAGAAATGCCTTTGTCCAGAGGTGCAGCAGGGAAGGCAATGATTAATTCTAAAACTGAGGCCGGAGTTGTGAAGTTCAGAGGTCTGCGACCAGTCTCAAAGGGAGAGTTTTCGAGAAGGACATGCTTTTGCTAACCCTACAAGTGTTTCATGCCAGCACCTAACTGGCCCGCACAGCGTGTCAAGCCTACTGAGATGAAAGGTCCTGACTTTGGGGAATTTATAGAAAATATTTACCAGGAAGCTGTCGGTTTGTACACCAAGAAGCTTCTA